ACGCTTGCGTACTTGCATTTACAAAACAACTGCATTGTAAAGTTTGTCCGTATTGCAACTCTCCCCTTATGTGTTGAGTTTATTTGCCAAGCACAATTGAAAATTCTGTAGCCTTTCTTTCAATTATATGTAGTATGAATCTCATAGATATACTGTGAATAATATAATATAAATACTAGAATAGAGAAAGCTGTTTCTAAATCTACTTCAACTATGTAATCTTATGCAAGTGAAGAGCCGTTCTTCACATTTTTTCATGCGTACATAATTGCATGCCACAAATATGCTTTTGTTCGTCAAATTTCACATAAGCTGAGATTTTATCTGAATTTGTAAGTAAATAAGGGCGCTCTTTTGTTGAGGTTGAAACAATTCACTAAAATAAATATGAAGTGTGCTCATGTTACTACATTTCTTCCAGAATTTAATGGATTTAAGGCATTTTTTAAATTTAGTTATCATTTGAAGTGGGTTTTCATTAATTTGAAAACGTGAAAAATCATTATATCTACATCTGTCCCGCTCTTGCTAATTAACTACTAGTACCCTCAAATTGCATAGCTCCCTTGCTCAACACTCACTTATTCGCTTTCGAGTTCTTCTTCTACTATATTAAGTATCTCTCTTCCGTCTCTCAGTACAATATATTTCGCCTTGCATTTTTCTGCCCTCTCATCTGCTTTATTTTCATTCCATACAATATTTTATCCCACATGCATCTTGTAAACATTTTGTAAATGCTACAATTTCCGCACGAGCCAAAGTTTCTAACTTAACAACAATAAAAAATCCATATATTTGCAACCGCAGACCTGCCTCTTCCCGTCACACAACATTTCTCAATTTCCCAAGCAGCCAACTATATTCATAAACAATCAAAAAATAAGTTTTCATGCTAAAATCAATTTATGTTGTTTTGAGCAAACACTTATTTATTTGCCATATGCTTAGAAAAACATTTTAAATGAATATACAACATTGATCAAAGCACTCCAAAAGGTAGTTAAAACATTTGTATAGACGAGTGTTCACTGCTGAGCATGCTTGTACTATTTGTGCAATGCAAAGTAGGAATGACAGAGAGCTAGCGAGTGAGAGCTAGAAAAAAGCCAACAGTATTTAACTTCCACACCATTGACTTATGACTTAAATAAACTTATAAATTGTACCAGGAAATCACAAAATTTGTACAGCAAACACACACACGCACACACATATATACACACAAAATCCGAAGACACTGCGGCATGCGTAGACAAATATTTGCGGTTACCTGTCGTTTGCTTACACAATTTCATACACAAAATCACTTCTAATTGATTGCCTCTATTTGTTCAAAAAAAAAAAAAAAAAAAAAAAACAACAGGAAAAAATAAAAGAAAAACGAGATTTTCTAAAATGCTGCTTCTTGCTCTGTGGCCTTTTCCAGTGCTGGTTTTTAATAAATTGTAGCATATGTAAGTGTTGTGGCTTATGAGCTGGAAAAAGACTAATGACCATAAGTGAATGCCGGACATGCATGAAATTTTATATTTTAAATTGCTAGCATATTCCAGTAATTGGTAAAAGCTTATTTACAGTTAATTGTTCATGTCTGTGCTGGTGATTGTGTGCTTTAGTAAAAATATTTGCATACAATTGTTTGCTTTGTTAAGTTGATGATTTTTAAAGCGGTTTGCAGAACATTTAGTGGGAGAGTGTATTGAATAGTTCTGGATTACAAAAAAGCATTGGCGAGTATGCGATAAAATGAAGCTGTTAATATTATATATAAACTTATTTTAGGTATATCCTATAAGGGTTATAAAACCAGTATTGTAAGAGTTATATAACAATTATTGTAACGGTTATAGACCAGTACGTAATAGATTGAAAGTTATTAAAACGAAAGCTGAAGTAAATAATTTACGGGACGGGCGATCTTACGTCGCGAAGACGAAGGGAAGTTAGCGTGCTTAAATATTCAAGTGTTAGAATAGTTTTGCCTGATTTCCGGCATAACTATGAAATTTATAGAAAAAAGTTTAATAGAAAAGTTTTAGTTAATGAAAAGATCTAACACTTTTGTCCAAATAACTTTTTCACATAACCTCAAAATTGATGTGAAGAACTCAAATATCCAAGTTCTTGAGTTTTATGAATACGAAACCAAAAACTTTCAAGAAATTTGCTAAAAAATAACTACCTGCTTTTGTCCCAAAAACACTGCTTTTTTGTTTCAAATATTAAGCAGGCAACTCTACTTCGACTTACATAGAATAGAAAAATAACCAATTCTCAACTAAAATTTCAATTATCAAGTGAAAACATCAGCTTTTTTTAATTGAGTAGGCTTTATGCTTTTTTAAATTTGTATTTTTCTTGGTAAAAAATATAAAAATTGCCAAGAGATGGTAACCCTGTATAAAGTACAAATTTAGTGAGATTCGATTAAAATTATTATATTTTTCAAATTATTTTAAAAATCTGTGGCTATTACTGTATCTTCGGTTCGGGATAAATTTTTCGAGGCTTGACTTTATTCTGATTCAATTTTTGTTATCGTTTAAGTTTTTCTTCCAAAAATTATATGTTATAATATTATCGAGAACAATCAATAAAGTCAATACCTCGCACTGAACTGCTTTACCTTCCATATGATGTCAACCGTTAAAAAACGACAAAAGTAAGAAAAGAATTGCTAAGTAAATACGTGTCAACTCATGGCATCAATTTGACTATATGATATACTGAAGAATTCCTCGTATAACAAGATCATTTGTTAATAATTTTGACAGTAAAATATGAAAGTGTTGAAAAAGTAAAGCAAAAGTACTAAATGCAAGGTATTTCTTTGATTCTGCAAAGAAAGGAAGAAAAGGAATTTATTCTTATCGTTTGTGCGCGTCAATAAAAGTTTGCGACAATTGTGAAAGTGCAACGAGGAAATAGTTTCGAGAGCCTAAAGGGAAGCAAACACTCGCTTAAATGTGCGAGTGGGCAAAGTGGTTGATGTCTGCGCTATACATGAAGTGTGTATGAACTAAGTGATAGAAGTGTTAAGAAACTTAACAAAAAATGTACTTACGTCACACTTTTTAGTAAGAAAAAGTAACTTTAAAGACAAAGACAGCACATTATAATACGTCAAAATTCAAGTAGAAAAGCAGCTGAGAGAGAGAATGAGATGACGGTCGAGAGTTAGTGGGAACGAACCAGTCCGCCTGCTTGCTCAATTTTGTATCCTCTTTAAAGGCACACCAAGTGCAACAAAGCGCTCGTCCACCTGCTTGATTGCCTGCCTGCGCTTGAAGGCAAATATTATTTATCACGTAAACTGTCACAACCGCAAGATTGGCGCTTGACATTTTGTGTAAATATCTTTTGAGTGCAAAGTTGCCAAAACTTTATCGAATTTCTCCCCTATAACCAGCTATGCATTTTCATAGACGTTACCCACTTCGCCACTCTGGCAGTCGTTAATTTAACTTAGCGCAGCGAATAATAGTCAGAATTTTAATCTTCAAAAAGTTTGCGTAAACTTATGAAAGGAAACAAAAAAGAAAGAGAGTGTGAGATATTTGAATTTGTCTAGACGCCTGCTGGTTGGTTTCTTCCTTTGTGTAGGGCAATATTGATTTTGTAAATTTGCTGCAATAGAAGAAGTTGAAAAATAATATTGTAAAATATACATTTTTGAATATTATCGATTTTTTGCTTTCCATTTAATTCGGAATTAAACATAAAAGTACTGCAAAAAAATCTATTTTACAGTTGCAATCATATACAGAAATTTTGATACAAAATAATCGATAAATTTCGACTATCGATAATTTTAAAATATTTTCTTTCAAGCACCAGCATACACAAAAAGTTTATACAAAGTAATAGATAAAAACATAATCAATAAATTTCGATTATCGATAAATTTGTAATGTCGATAAATTGTGATTATCGATAACTAATTATCGACATACCAATTATTCTACCATCCGACTACCTATGTATATTAAGCAAATTCAAAAATTTCCAAATCATATTGTAGCTATCGGAATCACTACTGCTAATATAAAATATCATAATAGTTTAGTAAAATATTTTAGAAATGGAATCGATGGCCAAAAATTATCACTGATTAAATATTTATATAATCGAAACTATAACTTGAATAAAGGTTTATAAGCGTTATTTATGTGCAAGTCGCTACTGTTATACAATTAGGAATAATAAGTCAATAAGTGATGAGAGCAAGCATAAAATTCGTATAAACAGTATCGATAACTCTAATGTATATCTAAATGTTATTGCTAAAAATTTTAATTCAGTAAAAGATCAGATAGTTTTTTGAAACTTATTTGATCTATCAAAAAAAAATAAAATAGATTGAAAGTTACGTATACGCCGTGTATGCCTTTAAAGATTAGTAGAAATAATTGCATAAATATCCTTCCATTGCGTAATGGATCTTATTTTTGTTATTGTTATTGTCGATTAACATTATAACTGCTTCCTTTACAAGCACCCAACTGTCATTTTGAAATATTTCATGCCATTTTTCTTGTTTGCCCTTACGTCATCCGCGCATTTTAATCCGCTTAAGCCAGCCAATCAAAAATTGTCATTTAAGTTTCTTTTTTTTTTACTATTTTTCACAGAAGCGCTATTTGTTTTTGTTAATGTGCGCACAAAATTCCTTTAATTGCGTTTAATTCAATTTAGTAATCTGTCTGCATAAGCACTTTTTCCATAGCCACCAACAGCACCACCGAAAATGTAACACCAACCAGCAGCGATGGCGCGCACCCTTTCGCCACAGCTTACTTTTTAACATTTTTAATTTCTGTAATCACACTTTTTTCGCTTAATTTCTTCATTTTTTAGAGCAAAAACAAATATTTCTTTCTTTTAATTTTCCTTTTTGCTACAATATCCGCATACTTTGCGTCGTTTACGCATTTCTACACAAATTTTTTTACGCAGTTTTTATATAATTTTTTATCTCTCGCATTCTCTCTTTGCAGACCCGATTACCGTCCGAAGCACGGCATTTACGATTTGCAAATTAAAAACGCTTCATACATTCGCGACAATGGACGTTTCGAGTGTCGCATTAAAGCGAAAGGTACGGGCGCCGATGTCCATCAAGAGTTTTACAATTTAACCGTCCTCACACCACCGCATCCACCCGTCATTTCACCCGGTAATGTGGCCATTGCCACGGAGGATGTAAAAATGGAGCTGACGTGCAGCAGTATTGGCGGTTCACCGGATCCAACGATAACGTAAGTACACACACAGTGCCGGTGCAGTAGTGCGGGTGTACTGCCTCACATTGCGCCAAAAGCCGGTGTGGGCGGCAATAATACCGTATTAATTTAAAATAAAATTTATGTAAATTGAATGCCGTACCCGCTTGCACTTTCGCCTGCTACGGCTGTTTAAAAGGATTTTCGCTGTCATTATGTGCAGGCTACTAGCCAATTGGCCAACCAGACTGGCTCTAGCTGCTTGGATTGTACACCAGCTAAGTGTGCACGCTATTTACATATGCACATATGTACATACGTACATATATATGATGTGCTTTTTTTTTAAGTAGCGTCAAATGAAAATGTCCTTAATCCGCGCTGAAGAGGTGCAACTGAGCGCCCAAGTGTGGCTCCAACGTTGAGTAACTTTAACTGAGCATTCATTACATGCAAGTCAACGAGGCAAATGCTTACATATGAATATTTATACATATGTATATGCCTACATATCCACTACCTTAATTCACTTAATTTTATAAGCTTAAACAATTTAATGACATTTAATTTTTTCTTTTAATTGAGTCATATCATCACTGAAACGAATTGAAGTGGGAGGTTGATCTCATTTATTGCACAGAAGCTTAATACATAGTTCTGTGCACGGAGATGCTGGTAATAAGACGTAAAGCAAACTCATATGGCTATATAGTCATACTTCATAAGATTAGGATACCGCGACTAATTGATTTATGTATGCTAGTCTGCAGTACAGGCGATGACTTGCCTTAAAATAGAGTTATCAAAAACAAAGCTCGTGTTGTTGGAGCGGCCCATTGACACGCCGGCAGACTGCCATTATTCGAAAAAAACAAAAGGTTTTGCTCACCGATTAAGCTACATAAATTCTATTGAAGAAGTGAGCGTGGCTTTAAAGTCTAGCAGGTTTAATATAATATATATATGTATATCTTACCAACTAATAAATCTCAACCGAACTCGGTAGAGGCATTTCTTTTCACAATTTTACTTTACGATTTTAAAAGGATAGAAACCGGTTAATTACCTCGCCAATCTGCCTAGCAATGGCTTCTAAGTGGCGTAACTGTCTAAAATAGTTTTAGAAAAAACGTTACTACAGGGATGATACTTATATGCTTTTTAGTGATTTTTTTTTTCCAAAAATTTTACTAAGAACAGTTAATGATATTGTTTAAAAACCTCTTCCGAAATTTGAGAAATTTGGCTAGAAGTACTTCTATTTGCCTAAATATAATATTTTGAGGCTTGGTAGTTACTCTTTTCTCAAACTATATGTGTCACTGACTACTAAAGTCCAACCAAACCCGTTTCTTTATGACATTTTCTGTTAAAATGCAAAATTTAGGACAATAAAGCCATAGGTGCTTATAAAAGTGTCGTAACTGTCTTGACAGTATCAAAAAGGTTAAATTTAGCCACAGGTTTTATGCAGTAAGCTCACATCTGGTTGGGATAAAAAATTACATAATGGGCGTGGCATACATAGCATACAATTAGGATGAGTTTTAAATCTCATAAACTGTCATTGCTATTTTAATCAAATATAAATGATGGTGATGATGATGATAAATCCTTTCCACATTGGTCTAAGACTTGAGGAATTAGGCTCTATTTGCCTAAATATGGTATTTCAGTGCCTGCTAGTGCTTTTGTTCTACAGAATTGGTAACATAAGTATTAAAGAAGGTGTACTAACACAACTCGTGCATTTGTTTTGGAAAAAACGTGGAATGTGGAAATAGTCCCCATATACCGAATACTATATTTCCGGTTAAGGGGTCAGTAGAGTAATCTGACCTATTTTACCTTTTTTTTTTTTGAAATTTTTTTTCATAGAAATTTGTATTCTACAATCGAACTTCTTTCACATATCATGAGGTATCTGGTGGAGTGTAAAAATTTTTTTCGGAATTTTTTGATGATATCTGTCGGAGAAATAGCTACGTGAATGAAATGCGTTTTTTCAATGTCGAGACGATTTCTCATGTTTGAATTATCTTAAATACAAAACCCAATTTATTCTTAAAAAGTACGTGAATGGTTATCGTCCTTACTAGGAATTAACGTTTCTTTTTTTTTTTTAATTTTTCCCCCATGTTGTTTCACATAAATTTTGTCATAACTGTGTCAATAAATTCTAAAAAATTATGAATCTAGTAGGGACGATAGCCAGGCGTTTTGTGAACATTAAAAAAAAAAAATAAGCAACTCGGTTGAGCAGTTCGACCGGAATCATGTCCGCAAGTTTAAAAAAAAAGTGTTTTTTGAGAAAAGTTTGAGCTGTGCACTCTGAGCGCTCCGAACGCTGAAGGTTATTATTATTTTTGGGCCCTTTTCGAAACATTCTAATGGTAAAGTGGGTTTTTGCATTAATTCTAATGGTATAGGTTAACAGAAAATGCAAACAAAATAAAAAACAAAACTTTTTAAACATAACCCTACTGACCCCTTAAGTTTTCTTACCACAAATTATACATATACCATACTGGTCTTGGCTTCAGAGAGATATACAAGGATCTCAACATCTCTTATGCTCTTATGGATCGACTCAACATATTTTGGTTAATGGTTTTGGTAGGAAATGTATTAGAACGTGCGAACGTTATGTGAAATTATGAATATGATATCAACAATCTAGCGAATGGCGCTTCAGAAAATGATCTGAACTCGTTAAAACCAAAACTCGTTGAAGGCCATACCAGCCGACGCTTATTACGCAGTTTATATGAAGAGTTTATAGCAAAGATACTTGAGTTAAGCCCATTGAAAAAGTGAAAGAGTCTAACTTGAAGCTAATTTGTATTAGAATAGGTTAAAATGAGCTTTAAATATTTCATATCAATGCCATTACGTGCCAAAAAATGAAGGGGAATTTAGATCTTAAGGAGTTAACTACCATACCGCGCTATTCATTGACATCACATGACAAAAAGTTAAACCGCAATTCACGTTTAGCTAAGCCTTTTAAATGACATGTAAATAATTTGCTTAGCTTTGCAAGTTTGCCAATTTTTGCTCTTTCGTTTCACCCAGTTCATTGTACAGTCTTTCAATTGCTTCTTTCTTAATTTATTTATTACGCGAGAATTTTTTTCGAATTTCATAATCTATTCCTTTGTTTTTCACCCGTTAACTCTAAACGCAACGCTGTTTTCTTTACTATGTTCTGTCTTGCTGGCGAGCGCGAATTTACAGATATTTTTCGCGTAAGTAAGAAATAAATTTGCAATAAAACTTCTTAATTCCACATGTCGTGGCAACTGCCAAAAAGCATATTTTCTTACACATGCAACCCGGCCTGCGCTGACTGGTGGCATCGACAAGCGCTGGCGTGTCTTGCAATCCCCAAATATTTACGACACAGTTAATTGTGGTTGCTTGTGCCAAAACAGCGAAAGAAATATAGAACTAGCTGATACTAAGTAGAATAGCAAGAAACGAAAATGAAAATTATAATAAGAATAAAATAAAATAAAAGCGTAGAAAATTCTGTGTCAACAAGCCAAGTCCACAAATGCTAGTATAATTTTTTTCTCGCAAACGCGAATGCAGCTAACGAGCAGGAAATAATCACGAACGACGCTGAGGAAGCACAAATGCAAAGTGTGCACAAATTAACTTGCAACGTTTTTCGAGCCACACTGACTTATATATACATGTCTGCTATATATTATGCCTTGATTTTATTCCACATGCCATTCCATACTTACATTCCTTTCATTATACAATAACAACTAACTATTAGCTTTTTCCAACTTTCTCTTTTCATGTGCTTATTTTTGCCGACAACATCTGCACTGCATTTCCGCGCTTTTGCTGCAGTTGGTATCGCGAGGGCACCAATACGCCACTGCACGCCGTCGTACGTTCGGGCGGCTCAAAGGATCAGCCAACAAATGCAACATTGACGCTGCAACCGCGTCGCGAAGACGATGGCGGCAAATACAAGTGTATCGTACGAAATCGTGCTATGAACGATGGTCAACGATTGGAAGCGACCGCCACATTGAATGTTAACTGTAAGTAGAAATGTTCAAGTTTCTTTTAAACCTAATTTAAGTAATCTACGAAGAGACACGAAAAAGTGTTGTACATAAAGCGAAATGCAAAATTCGAAAGAGAAAATGTGTCGGTATCTACGCTCCACATATCCTCAAGGTAACACATAAGAAGCGTCGGAATCTAAAGTTTTCGCAAATTTACCTCAAAATATATTCTGACATTGTTGGTTGTCGGAAAACTGAACTTCGAAGTTCGATATCGAAAATTTTAGAAATCTGTAGTTAACCATACAATAGCTGCTGACCTTGCCTGTTTAATAAATGAGGTTAAAATTCGAAATGCGAAGTTCGAGAAAGAAAATGTGTCGGAATCTACTCTCCATAAATCCTAAACATAACGCATAACCTCAAAAAAAAAAACAAATTTTTTTTGTTAAAAAAGTTGTCTTAGAATCCAAAATTTTATTAAAATAACATCAAAATATATTGTGCCATTGTTTCTTGCCAAACTGAGGTTCGAAGTTCGTTGTCGAAAATTGTAGAAATCTGTCGTTAACCTCAAAATAGCTTCTGATTGTGCCCGTTTGATAATTGAGGTTCAAAATTGAAAAAATATTGTCGAAATCTACATTTTTCTCTAACCTACAAATTTTTTTGACAAACTGATGTTCGAAATCAAAAATGAGTATCCGAATACGTAGTTTTCTGTAAATATATCGAAGTTGTTCTTCCCCTTGCGATCTAAAAAATTCGCTTAACTTCAAAATATAACACATAACCTCGTAATATTATATAAAATCAAAATATTTGATGTTGTTCCGATATTCCATTTCTTCGACATTACCTTAAAATATCACCTTGCCTTTTTTCTAAACTGAATTTCGAAACCTAAAAACAAGGGTTTAAATTGCAAAGCTTTCTTAAAATAATTACAAACTAACGATATTTTACATGCTCCACTTAACCTCAAAATATCACATAAGCTCAACATATCTTCTGACCTTTTCTTTTCACTTATCTTTCAACTAGAATTCGAAATCGAAAAATCATGAAAAAAGTGAAGAAAATCTTATTTTCTAAATAATTCAAAGATAACGATGTGTCGCATAACCTCAAAATATCTGCCGACCTTATATAATTGCATCCTATCTGCGCATATGAAGTCGGAATTATAAAAATTGGCTGTACATCTCAATTAACCGAAGTGTCGTTTAAATATTCGCCACACCGGCAAATCACCATGACAACTAACTAACTTTAAGTAATTATATTGCGTGGAGTCCCACCTGAGAACATACACTTTCGTAATTCCACAGTCGTCCGCAACACCTGGACACGCGTACTGTAATAGCCTGTCGTATTCTCCAAGGCACACTTCACCAACTTCTGGTATTATGCTCTAACACACTTAATATCTGGCTATAGCCACATTATAATGCCCTTCCCCACATCCACAACCACTTCAGTAACGTAACGTTACGCTTCGTTGCTTTTGGGTGGCATCGCCCGCTATGGCTTTCTTGGGGACTATTTACTTGTGTATGAGTGTGTCGGTTGGAGCGTCCGTTCGCGCGCATTTCATTTGTTCTCGTGTGAATTTGCCGCCCAAATAAATGTGTTGAATTCAATATTACGATTTAGTGTTCATAATTATAGCTCCGGACAGTGTCGTAATGATTTTCTGACATTCATGAAGCTTCGCTGCAACTCACGTGGTTTGTTATGAGGCCCAGTAGGAAATTAGAGAGACTAATTTGAAATCAGCTGATGATAACCAGTTCAAAGTTGGGCTTCATTTTCTTAGCTTTGCATGTGAGGTAATCAAATTTACTTAGAAAAATGTGTTGGATCCGAAGGTTATTAGTAATTGTTTTAAAATCTCCGATTCATTTCAATAAATTCGTATAAAAATCTTATTTGCCAGGAAATAGTTCTAAAATATAGGACTCAGAATTTGACTTATTTCAACCCCTTTGGTCAACCTGACTAACTTGAAACTATCTACACAATATTTTAAAGTAAACTTCTAGCCACTGTCAAGTGGCCTCACTTATGTGAACTTCTACACATGACTCCATTCTACAGTGTTGAATTTAGTTAACTTAAAATAAGACACCACACCTCATGAGACTTTGAACTAGTTACAAACTACTCTTATATAAAAATTATATCCATTTTTAATATAAGAAAAATGTATGCTTAACAACAGCATGTATTAACTATATTATATGGTCTAAACCTGCTTGAAAACCTCGAATGAAATAATGCTACTAATCTTTAACTAGTTTGTAACCACTTTGAATCAAACTCGTTTAAAATGATCTAATAAATATATTGCATAGAACATTTTCAAATTTAAATTCGTTATTTGCTTCGAAAACCTCATTTTCCAAGTTAATACGAAAGAGATACTAACCTGTAGAGTCTGTTTGTTCTCTTCACTTACTGCTTCCCACAAACCATATTTTTCCTACTGGCATTGCACCCGCTTTCGTATAGAGGTAAATATGACCTTTTTGTTAATTATATATGTTACTTTGTCACTACCGCATAACCACTATTATTTTATTTAGTAATTTGTTGTACCGTTAATATGTTTGTGGGTGTCAACAGTTTTTCACCTCAGTGAAAAAAAAAACACTCGTTTTTGTCCCATTTGTTAAACTCGCAGGTTGGTATTTTAATTATTAATTGAGCATGAATTGCTGTGCTTTACGCAAACGAATGTGCATATGGCTGCGTACAGGTGTAAATTAATATGCTATTACTTTCAGTGACAAAATACTGTGTTCTAGATAGGTATGCATAAATGTGCGCATAAATGAGTTTTCAAAAAATTGTTGTAGTAATGTTATTTTAATTAAAATAACTGTGGTTTTTGATTGGTTGCAAATCATGTTGGGTCTGTGATTATAATTTTTTTTATTGTTGTTTATGTACCGAAACAATATTTTTTTTTTTTCAGGAAGTAGAGTTGTCAATCCAGGAATTTAATTTTCCGGTGTTAAGTTTTTTTTACTAGGACAAATTTTTTTATACCTTGTGGATTAATTTGAGCCCTTGCATTAATAAATTAGTGCCCTTAAAAGTTATGTTGAAAACGTGGTTTTCAAGTAGCAATGAAGCGCATATAATTTAGTACTATGGTCAAGAATTTTGGCTTATTATCTTCAAAAACGAAAATGACCAAAAAAGTTATGAAATTTTGAGGCCCGAGTTTCCACTACTTTTTGCAGCAATTGGGGTCCTATGTCAACAAAAACGCGCCGAAGATTCTCTTTCTAGCTATCAATCGTTTCGGGGTTTTCTGCGTAAACAAGCGATTTCATATAACCTCACAAAAACGAATATAGTGCTATAGATCGAATTATCAAAGGCTTCGCTACAGGTCCATGACGTGAGATAATGCGTTCACCAAAAGCTCCCTTTATTTAAATTCATTGTTTCATAGACTATATAGCATTTAACCCCGTCTTGTTGGAACCAAAGGTCATCCACATTAACATTATCTAATTCAAGCACGAGAAGTCAATATTATTTACTATTTAATGTTTAGGATTCCCTGAAATATTATGATCGGCTTCATTTTTTGAAGAAATATGGAATTTTCGAAGAGAAGTGGAACTTCCTTCTATCCATAGAGCACACCAAATACTGCGCTTCCTCGCTGAAGAAACTTTTGTTCTAAAAATCGGGTGCAGAGAACTTTTCTCACTCCTTCAACGTCACGATTAAAACTAAACTCTCACGCGTAACATATTTGCATATTTGACAACAGAGCCACTGATTCCAACATAGCAAGTAAAGAAATGACGAATCGATAGCGACTAATATAACTTTTCAATGAAATGAATTTTGCAACCTGTAATTCAATTGAAAACTTCGCAAAAAATTAGTATAATAAAATATAAGAAAAAATTCTTAGTTACAAATACAATAAAAATATAGCTGGTTGTAAAATAATACCACTTACCTTACGTGATGGAAATGTTTATAAATATTGATAATTTAAACAAAATTAAGCCCCTAAAGACCCTATCAGAGTTCTCCAGACTAGTTATATTTAACAATGTATCTCGCGAGTTCAGGAAAAGACTTGAAATGAGTTGAACTACTAAATTTAACAGCATCCCACTCACGGTTTTTAAAATTAAAAACTAAATCCACTATTATCGAACAACATAAATTTCACTGATTTCGAACTAAATTCTAACCGCTCGCAATATCAATTTTATGAGAAAAACCATAATTGAAGACTCGTGGCTCAGTGACAACAAATGATTTGATGTGGCGATAATCACACGCTTAACTACAAATCAAATATTTACATACATATATACTTTATATGTATCCATAAATGTTTGAAATATTCAGTGTTCACATAAATCAAAAATTGCATTTGAAAATGTGCTGTGGTCGTGCGACTGCGTATGCGAAAGTTGAAAAGTCAAAACAAAAATTGATTTTTGAATTTCGTGCGTTAAATGTGTAATTAATTCTCTGATAGTATAGGAAAATTATATGTCGCTTATTTAATTGCACTTGTGTGTGTCCATCAGCGGCCAGCTGCAACAAATACAACAAGCTTGTGCTAAACGCCAGCTAGTTGTTGGCTAAAACTGGTCAAAAATTAAATGATGGGTTTTGAGCGCAACGCACAAGTTGTTGTTGCTGCTGTGGTACATGAAAACCACGCAACTAATGCGAAAAGCTAAAATACACTGATGAGCAAACATTAAGCTGCATTTGGATATATGTGTTTGTATATTTGGTGGCATGCATTTTCAAATATATAGACAGATTTATTTGCGCATTTTATTAACAACGAATATAATTAAAATAATCGAATAGATTTCATGGTAATTCGCTGACCTTTTAATCAACGCAGTCACTTGGAACGAGCTCATACAAGTGCATAAGTATTAATTACAGTTTTTAGTTAGAATTATATTTGAAAGCAAACGCGTTAAACAGTATGGAATAAACGTGTGGTAGACGAGAATTTTCAAAGATTTTGC